GTGTTAAATTAATGTGGAAAAACGTATTTTATCTTATTTTTTATATTTTCGTTATTTTCATGCTTCAGCAACTGATGGAACTCCTCTCCACTCCCCTGCGCTCTCATCTGAACCAACATCGTCATCGCCAGCAGTACCTCCTCCACGAGAGATCGAGCTTCCGCGTGTTACAAACACAGGTCACAGCATTGGTCCGCTTCAACGGGAAAAATGTCCATACTGTATGACCAAGGAGTCTTTCAATAGACCAGTCGAGGCTATAGAACATAGTAAGTATTCAGATCTCATCACTGCATCAATAAGTCCTCTGCTAAGCTATTGCCCAAGCGACTTGTGTCTCAATTGGAAAATAGCCTGCCCAGAGGTCTTTTTGATGTAATTCTATATATTTTCAATGCCTCTAAACCTGCTGATACTTTCTCCGAATAGTCTGTTTCAGTCGTAGACCACGGAGGAAGCATTCTGGATGTGAAATTATCATTTTACGATGATGATAAGCTGCTAGCGACTGAGACGCAACTCACTGGCGAGAAATGCAATGTCTGCGATGTAAATTTCGATTTTCCAACACAGTGAGTCCTGCTTTCAAATTTGGAAAATCTATATGTATATCTTATGAGCAAATGTAAACTTTTGTGAATTTTCCTCAGTATAGAAAGTCGCGTGTGACCAAATAGCTACACCTGTGACGCAGGTCATTTGCGCGCGCAAGCTCTCAGAATTATTGGCGCAGCTATCTGTTCACGCGCAAATTTTACCGCATTTTCTCGGCACCGTAAGCACACTACATTGGGCCGAAAATCTACTCAGCTGTAATTTCTGCGCAGTCAAGAATGGGAAGCATCAAACATGTTTTAAAATGTAGGAAACTATATATTTTCACACATTGTAAACTAGATATTCAAAATTTGTACGTATACCGTATCTGCATGTCAGAGAATATCTTTCAGATACTATCTGCATTTGCTTCTGAAGCATAGAATGGAAGTGACGTCGTTTTATATACCGAACTACCCGAAAGCTAATAATGTGAAATTTGTAACGGTTATGATTTATCGTATGTATCCCGAGTACACAATTGAGTTCCGTGAGGTTATGCCACATGCTAGACCTCGTACAGCAGAACCACCTCGAAGTACAGCTGCTGTAGAAAGTAGTAGTGCTAGTTCAAATGTTGAGCAATCTCAAATCACCAGGACCAGTAGTGATTCCCTTGTTGCTGAACCAGAAGTAGAGCAATCCAAGTCTTCCGTGAGTGCTTCTTCAGAGCAATCCACAGATGTCTCTAAGGAGCACTCTGTCGAAAATCTGCCTGAAAATAAGAATGTATGATAGTTTAGCACATATGCTTTTTGATGTTTATTAGTTTTTGCATGTTTTGTATAGAATTTGAGTTCTGTGCGCAATGATTATGTTTTCTTGTGTTATTCATCTTACGATATAAACTTGAATTTGTAAAGTCTTCTACTTTGACTTTCAGTTTTTTTT